CGCTGCGGAGTCTCGAGGAACGACGTATTCGCGATGATCGGCACCGGAAATACCGTCAGTTACGCAACCACCGTCTGCATCCTGGCCATGCTGCTCTGCTTGGGATCTCGCGCTTCCGGTGAATACGGTAATCCCGATTTTTGTTCCGATATAAGCACACGCAATCATTAAAGTCTCGATCTCGTTTTATTAACCGCATGCGTTCGCAGAATCGAGGGAGACGGGCTCGAGCGGCGGGTCGAACGACGGTAGATCGCCGAGCAACGATTTCGGCTCGTGTATCGATGGCAAGTGCATCAAGCGCACCCCGCAGGATATCGCCAGCGGCATGTGGTTCGGCCCGCGTTTGGGAAGGCGACGCAGATCGGACGAGAAGCAGGAAGTGAGTTCCGAGATTCAGGTCCTGGCGAACGCGTTGGACGGCGTGCATTGGGCAGTTATTACGATTCCGGGTAAGAAAATCAAAATCTTTCAGCGCAATCCATCGCTCGAGCCTCGTTAAGTTTCCGATCTTACATGTTATTTCGCTCGTACGGACAATAATTCTTCTCTTTTGTCACAATTAAATTTAATCGACATTATTGTTGGCACTTCTTTTATTATAAGTCTGCATTAGGTGTTTCACATAGCGAGATTTTTCATGTGATATTAAGAAAAAAATTTATATATAATTTTCGAATTATGAACGAACAAAAATAAAACCTTTGTGAACAGTTCAAGCTGGTGGCATATAATTATTTGATTCTAAAATTCCATTCTCGTCAATTTTCTTTCTTTATTTTTCGATTAAATTTACAGTAAACTCTATTCAAACAGAATTTTAATCCCCCTTTTACTTCTCTTTGAATTTTTCTCACTCTCTCCTCCCATAAAATTTTGTTTGCAAATGTATCTAGAGAAATTACTTCATTTAACATTATGAATGAGTTCTCTATTCTCAATTGAATTACATCAAAGTCCATTAACTCGCATCGATCCGCAAATTTTAAGGTCCAAGAAGAATGTATTTCCAATTTTGCTCGCAATTATATGATCATCAATAATAAATTTCAGCTAACGACAAAAGACAACCGCCTCAATTTACACCGCGTCTGGGACGAGGATCGAGCGAGGATCTATTCTCCTACGGGGATCCATACGAAATCGACGAGGACGACCGTTCGTTACCGCCGATATTCGCACCTCGTTTAGGGCGTAGGCTTCCCTGGACACCGAGACTTGGACGTCAATTGCGCAACGTACTACGGAAACTGTAAACGCTATCCGATCAAAGCTACAAGATCATTCAAAGTTGAAGAATGAAGTATGATCTTGTAGATTGGCGCGATTATGAGAACCTTGAAACGACGACCACAATTATAACATTATTATACGTAAGACATAAAAAAATAAAGTATATTTGTATTGCGAAAACTACCTGTCCGTTCTTCTTTTAAGAATAAACTTTTAATTAAACCAAAAATGAACTTTTTGCTAAAAAAATTCCTTTTTCTAAAAGTCTACTGCGTCAGAATATTACATATTTTCATAGAATTCGTACTCTGTACCAGCAGCATCGAGAAATAATAAATTTAATAAATAGAAGTAATAAGTTAATACTGCAATTACCGATTAAAAATAATAAGAACTAATTGCAAACACGCAAATATTTTCTTCTCGCTACGATCAACGTGATATCAAAGAAAAAGTCTTATAGGAATAGAACAGTCTCTATTGCAAGTTTGTACGAGGATGTACATGGAGGATGATAGACGCTATTTTCAGCGTCTCGAGAAGGGTTGAAATATCTCTCTCTCTCTCTCTCTCTCTCAAGAGGAAGTAGGACGGTGGAAGAAAGAAGAGGCAGGGTGCCGAACTACAGCGAGTAATTCCTCGACCGGAACTACTGGCGAGCCATGTGGCAACGTAGAAGACGATCATAATCGTAAAACAGCAAGTCGGAGCAGATACAAGTTAGCTTCTAGTTCACGCTTTACAACGGTGCCGTATATCGAGGATTGCTCGTAAAACGCATCGGAAAAAAATCCCTTCGATGAGAGCTTCGGAATATTAACGCTGATCGTGGCAACACGTTGTACAAGATGTTTACCCGATAACACCAAATGCTTTCGCGAACAGATATTCTTTGACTAATCTTCAAACCAGTTTCTTCGGAAAAATAATCTTCATAAAGATATAAAATTAATCATCAATAAACAATTATTTAAATAGACAGTAAGATCTTACTTTTTTTTAACATTCGATTGGTTATCGAGATACTTTTACAGTTACAAATTAAAAATTTTAATTTTTAGTAAAAAGGAATCCGTTTAAAAGATATTAATAATAAATCTTTTAATATTTAACGCGTAATAAGAATACGTTTACCGCAAACAAAATAACGAAGCTTTGTATTTCTGATAAAAATTATTTAATACTGAAATCATTGATTCTTAAATAAGTAAAAACAGAACAACGATAGCAATTGTATAGAGACTATAGAGGATAAAAATATTTGTAAACTCGATTTCGAAAAAAATTGTCAATCTCTTAAAATAACATTCTCGATACAGGATTATGATTTGTGGAGCAACATCTGCTCGCATAACAAAGAAAAATTCGAAGAAAGAACTTTGACGATCGCGAATACGTAAACGCACGATACTAAATCATTGCAGATAAAATAAACAATTGCTCGTGCAAGAATCATCCATGTGACGTTAAAGCATTGAAAACGATATAATTACGAGCTCATTTCTGTGTTCTGCAAGTAGTACATTTCTACGGAAATCTCTACCATTCTTATGTCAAATGTCACGGTTTTTCATTGTTAAATAAATGAAGCAAGGACGATTTAGGGCGCGTATCGCAGCCTCAATTCATCGAAATTATGTCGGTTGCTTTGTACGGAGTAAAGATAAATCATCTCATTTGTTTTTATTAAGTGATATAAATAAAAAATAAGCTTTAGAATAAGCCTACTGCGCACATCTACATCAGACATGTGCAAATCTTGTTCTCATTTTTATTAATTCTATTCTTAGATTATTAAGCTTAAATTAAATTGTCGTCCCCATCCCATTCCTATTTTCTTTAAATATTCTTTAAATGGTAAAATTATTTTACCATTGTTCGTAAAATCAAATGTGCAGTGTAATGAGAACTTACCCGAAAAAAAAATTGTTCACGTAAGATTGTATATAAATATGTTCATATATTGAAAAGAATACGGAATAGATTTTAAAAAAATTTCCATTCACAAACTTATGTAGAAATTAGTTTTAATCGTTCAGAGAAAATTAATTTAATAAATTAATATTTAATTGCGGTATATATATCTATTTAATTGATAATATGCAGTAAATAATTAAATTAATATTTACTTAATATTGATTTAGTGAATTTTAATATTAGGCCAAAATTCATTAATTTACTAGATATCTATTATAATTTTCACATTTATTCGGAATAAATCTATTTATTAAAGCGTCTTCCCGAAAGCGATTAATTCATTCGGAGTAGATATCGAAACGGAGGCAGGTGACGCGAATTGCGAGGTTATCTCATTGTGACACGCGGAACGACGATTCTATTAAGATTCCGATGAATCTCGCTTCGAATTATTTGTTTCTCACGTACATACAATTCACTCACCGATCACGGCGCACTGCAAGGAGACCTTAGACCCGCCAAACGCAGCCGGGAGGGGGTTACGTACGACGTCCAGCGCGACATTCGGCGTTCATTTCGTCCAGCGACGGGGCATCCCACTCGTTGCAGTCGACACGAGAAGGAACGGGGTATTCGGCGTACGTTCAGCTTGCAATCCTCTGTAACCGAATCTCTTTTCATTCACGAGAAAGAGGAATTTACGATCGACAACGTCTCGCACCGCACCGGCCACCGCGGCACCGCGCCGATGTGAAACGTGAACGCGTCGCTGCCACCGCGCAGTCAGCTGAGCCGTTGAACGCGATTGGCCCCTCGCGAGTCGAGCCCCCGGATCCGGCCAATCACGTTCGACCGCTCTTCGAGCCGCCGACCGACGGCCGCGACAAGACCGCGACGTACCCGGCCGCATACCAGACACGGCCCATGGTGAAAGAATACAGGGTGTGCTTATGCGCATATATTTCTAACAACAAAATGAGAAATTGATGCCAGATACCTCCATCTTTCCGCGACAGTTGAATTCGGTGTTATGTCATTACAGTGTCTTATTATTTATATTTAAAAAAATGGCTGCATCTGGCATCTGCGCAGAACCGTACGAAATTCGTCTCGAGTATGAGCACACCTGTATCCTTCCACCGTGGCACGGCCGTTGAATGAATCCTCGAACTCGGAAACAATAACGTTACCTTCAAAGTCGGCGCACGGCCGAGCGTATTTCTCGGCAAGCGGCCTTGCCACTTGTTTTCCTCAACGCTCGGAGTACCGTTTTACCCGCGAAAGTCATTCTCCCGATGAATTTCGCGCAGATACGAATAAGTGCTCGTGCTCCGCGCGTCCGTCGTCATGCTCCGTCAGCTCCGTGCTGTGCTTTTCGGAACGCGCTCGTTCCTGCGATTGGCATTCCTGTTCCTCGTTCCGCGGACCGCGGGAAACACGGGAATAATCGACTGTATAATCATGTCGTGATCTTAATTAAAATTTTGTATATTAGATTTTACATGATTTTACACGGGTAGGTAGGAAAATGGATAGGTCATATTTTTCATACAGTAATTACATTTTCCCTTGAATTTTAATGTTCTTTTTTTTTTGTTAAATAAAAATATTGTTCCGTCATATAAGAGTATTTTAATTATATCAACGATAATGTAAACACTTATAAACTAATAGACAAATATTAAAAGGATTATTAATAATGGTTAAATATTTAGGATAAAAAAACAAATCGCAAAGATTAAGCTAAATCGGTTTTTTTTTTATTAACATCTTTTTTCTATGAATGTATCTATATATGTATATAATATCTATATCCTTTAACACATATACTTTACATATATGTATAACAAGCATTCAACAAGCAGTCCCAAATAATAAACAAAACATTACTGTCCATTTCGTGATTATTGTAGCAGTATTAATTGACATCTTTAGAATGAGGATTTTTTAGCACAGAGAATGCGATGAAATGCGAACGGGCGAGTATCGAATGTAAAAAGTATCTGATCTGGTGTACTAAGTACTGTGCGTTTCTGATATGATCGCTAGCCCCACGAATGTCTATACACCGAAATCATTCGCTCCGCCACTTTTTATGAATCCGTTGTAGATGCTCGTAAGCTCGTTGGGAAATATTAAGTTCGGGGTTTATCGAACACAGATCAGGATGTCCCAAGAGACTTAAGCCGCACAGACCTGGAAAAGTTACACTTTTATTGATGCGTGATCATTTAAAACAGATACCGCTTGTAAGGATTACTTTTCACGAGATGACGTGACACTTTTATATTGAAGACATTTACAAATTATATCGTGAAAACAAGAATGCGACGTGAATTATCTCGCGTTTACCTAAATATGTATGCAAAGGATCAGGCCGAGTATTATCAAACTTCGCCAATCCTCCGACGAGCGTGTCTTGCGTATTAAGGATAAACGTTTTATTCTCCTCGGCGTTTGAGAAATTGAGGAACTCCAGCAGCTCGAGCGTAGCGCCAACCCAGAAACTGTAACACGTATCGGACGGCTTTCCAGGCCTGCCGTTAAATCCACTGTCCTGTCTCATAAGGCACCAACGCTTTAACCGAGCTAAACGATCCCACGTCAACACGTCCAATACGTTAATGTGCTCTCTCATCAGAAACAAACTCGCCACGGCGCAGAACGTGGAGCCTCCGTGAGATTCAAGGCCCGGTCCTTGCCCAATACCGCCGTCGTACGACTACAAAAGTATCGTAAAGTGAACCATCATCTTTTTTACACGAAGGAGGATAAAGATAACGATGCCTACAAATCTTGCAAAATAAAGCGTCGTCTACAATAGCAGCAGGAGTATGCAGTAAGACGTAAGTAGTAAGCTACTGACCAACCACAGTCGATTATTCTTGAATTGTAAAAATCCCATTAGTCAATAACTTACTGCTTATGTCTTACTGTAGACTCCTGCTGCCATTGTAGACGACGCATAACAAATTTTACAACAAACACTTACGATGCTTCGCAAAATGTAGTCGATTGCCCTTGGAATATCCATGCCCGACCAATTATCCAGAATTGCAGAGACGCAGGAGGCGCAATAGAGAAATCTCATGTCGCTCTCGCACCCGGTTACCATGGCCGTGAAAGATCCATCGGGATTCTGACAGGCGCGGACCCCCTGGACGATGGACTGTCTGTCCACGCGACCGAGATCGTCGCCGAGAATCAAGAGAGTCACCAGACTGGTGTAGGTCATCGCCAAGTGACCGCACTGGTAATCGGGTATGTCTCTCGGTATCGTCGTGGACGACTGGAAGCCGGAACGTGGACCGGCATCCTCGACCTGGAGCCGATAGATCCAATCGATCGCCTGTGACTTGGCCCGCTCTTCGATCTCGTCGAGCGAATTCAGCAGATCCAAGCCGGAGAAGGCGAAGTACGCTATCATCGGCCTGGTGGAGTCAAAGTCCGCCAGGCTGCTGGGCATGACCTGCAGTAATCTTTGGAAGTACTTGACGTGCTTCTCCCGAGCCAGCCGCGGCGTCATGATGATCGCGCAATATCGTTGAAAACGTTACTCTAAATCGACGTGGCGTACGCGCGGGCCGCCTCAAGAAAATCGGCACCCTGTCGTTGACGTTGTCGTTTTCGTTGTTGTTGTTGTTGTTGTTCGAATGCGACAACAAGTCAGGCGTGTGATTCTTCAGTCGGAATGCTTCTCGTTTCTTGTCCCATGCCCGTTCGTCAAAACTGTCCGAGACGCGCCAACGCATCGTGAATATTCACGCTTGAGCGACACATCTCATCTGCTACCCCTTTTTTTTCACGTCAGAATCAAATTAACAATACAAAAATTATGCGTCGCGAATCACCTTCGCCGCCCGTCAAAAACTCGATGTTTGGTTACGTTCGCACTTTGCAGAATAGCCAACATTACTTTATGTAAAAAAAAAAAAAGGTTATGATTGGTGTAGAACCGAAACCGAAACTTGCCGAAGCGAGATTCGTGTTGGCTTCAAAAAAAGCGAATATCCCACTCCCGATTGCGTTGCAAAAAAAATATCCTATCGTCGGCGAAAAAATTTTTTACTCCAATGGCAAATAAAAAAAAACTTATATTTCTACGGCAGTTAAAAAAAATTCCCCCTAACGGCGGCGAGAATAAAAATTCATACTCTAACGATAAAGAAAAATAAAATTTCTTATCCCAATGGCGGTTTAAAAATAAAATTTATAACTCAACGTCGGCGCAAAAAAAATTCATACATCTCAGCTAACAATAAGATCAAAATGTAATTTACTCCTATCGCGAAAAAAAAAAATTAAAGATTGAAATAAAACCAATGCTAATACTTTCCATAACATTTCTTTGCATATATTTGTATATATATTTATATGACATAAACAACATCGACACGTCACTCGACTATACTTTATATAATAAAAAAATAGAAAGGGAAACTTATATAATTGTCGATTATAAATTCTGTTACACATTTCTGGTCATTGCAACATCGGGTAGATAAACTACAGATCTATAGTGGCAACGATTATCGAGAAAAATCTCTAATATCTCTCCTTGTTACTTTGTATCAATAATAATAATAATAATACGAGTGCTACATTTAAAAATGTACGGTCTCGATAACTCGAGCTCAACGCGACGGTAGTCTTTAATAAATAAGAGCTTCTCGAATGCTATATCACTTCGCGACTCGCGCGCGCCTGTTATAAATAAAATCAATATCAAATAAATATCTAACTGGGACGTAACATCGACGAGGAATGCTAGTTATCGCTCTAACGGTCGATAATTTCGCTAATAGAAACTTTCAGGCAATAAATAACCGTGCAATATTACGTCAGGTCAGGTAGCGATTAGTCATTAGCGTTCTAAAGAGATCGAATCGTTATGGCAGAAAGTCGGGGGGCACGCCGTTCGGCAGCGTGACGCCAAGCCTGGTTGTCATGCAGGACGCGACCTTGCATCCCAATTCTAGGCAACTCTTCGGGTCCCAGTGAGCCAGGACGCCGGCCAGGAAGCCAGCCACCAGAGCATCGCCGGCGCCCGTTGTGTCCACAATAGGTGTCTTAGGCACAATGGGTTGCACCTGGATGTGACACGTGTATGAACGAAATGAACTCTTTACTCCCCCTCCCCCCCCATCTCTCTCAAAATTGTTTTTACTTATTTTCTTGACCGGAACGAACCTGAACGGATTGTCCTCTGCCCCAGACGATAATCGCCGGCGCGCATCCGCCGCGCGTCATGATGAATATACCGTCGTCGGCCAGCCAATCCTTACTGTTAGCGCTAGAAACGTCCATCGTGATCCTTTTCAAGCTATTTAGTAGAAAAGGTATATCGGCGACGTCGTCGTACTTGACGTTCAACGCTTGAGCTAACGCGATCATCTCCCTCGCGTTGCCAAACACAATCTTGGCGTGGCCAACCATCTCGCAAATGGCCGCTTGATGATCCTTCAAAAGTTAAAAAAGCTCAATTAAACAAATATTAATTTAGATATTAATTTGCTGATTATATTATTTAATGTGCGTTAATATTTTATATTTCATACCTGGAATATGTAGAAGGAATTAAGATTGAACGCTACAATAATATTCTTCTCCTGCGCCCGCTTGACCAGTTCCTTGGCCACGTCCAGACTGTGCGTCACGAAGTATCCTTCGATATAAATTATTTTTATACTATCTAACTGTGGATTGGCCTTTTTCAGATCGTCCAGCGTGTATACGCTAGCTGCGCCAAGATTAGCGACGAGGCTGCGGGACGTACCGCACACGAGAGAAACGCATAGTCCGGTAGGCAATGTTGGATGTACGGAGTACCTGATGAAACATATGCAGCATAGATTTTAGAGATGTCATATTCCGTGAAACTCTTGGCGCCTCTTGCGCGTATTACAATAAAGTTACCAACCTCGCGTCCACGCCCGCAAGTCGAACTAATTTTTCTAAGATCGAACCTCTTTGATCGTTCCCGAGACCACCGCAGAAGACACTGATTTGAGACTCGTGGGTCTCGTCGCAGAGCCACTGCAAGATCCTCAATGTATTCTGCGCAGATCCTCCGGGATTTGTGTATTGCTCTATTCTGTGGCATAAAATTGTTTATATTTATTATTTATATTATATACATATATGCACAATCTAATTCTCATATTACTTATTATATGTTATATGTATATCTTTTATAAATGATTATATAATATGTATAAATAAAAACTTAAAAAAATATTTATGCTTGCACTGTATATTGCTTGCATATATATATTTTTACATAACCATACAACCATATATTGTCATAAATATAATCTATTAAATATATTTGTAATTATATTGTACAATTTCTTGTTGTTATAAACAAATCTCACTTTATCTTCCATATTTCATTCCATTAAAAATAAATTGTTGAATGAAAACATAAAGGGTACAAACATACTCTGGATACGCGTGACAGCAAATTTGAATTAAAATGCTTCAGAAAATTGGGATTTGCATACAGCGCAATACAGTGCAAACATAAAACACGTTCTAACAAATGTATTCATTAACTCTGGTGGCAAATCTGCGACCAGCTCCTGCAGCTTCTTCTCGCACAGCTCCGTCTCGCCGTCTATCTTGAGACTGTACTTCCTGATCAGCTCGTCGTTCTTCAGTATCACGAGAATGTCCAGCAGAGGATTGCCGAAGGCTATGACCGCCGGGGAGTCCAATCGTGCGATGGTCTTCCGCAGTGGGATCTTCTCTACCATTTTTCGTATCGAGGACCGAGTTTCAAACGTTAGCTTCCAATATAGGCGTGTTGAAGATACAAGGAATTAACGATACGAGCCCATAGAAAATTAAAAGCGCGTCGATCGGCGGCAAACTACTTACAAGGTCGGCAGAACCTTTCGAATCATCTCGTAAGAATCTCTTTGCCAATAAACAATTATAGAGCCACGCGGAAATTATAAAATTGCGAAAAAGTCGTCGCGAAGGAACACTCTAATGAAGTTATTGCTGAATCGAACGAGATACGAGGCGTCGAACTGCGAGGGAGACCGGAGAACCGACTGAACCAGAGGCGGGCGACTCGCTCCGCTTCGTCCGAGATATATTCTCTCTTCCTCGTGTCAGCGCGACGAAAACGGTCGCGCAATTTAAACGTGCACCGTGCACGTCGGTCTCCCTTCGTTCATCTCGGAGGTCGCATCGCGCGCTGTCCGTCGGCGACTCCGTCCCTACTGATTAGTCCCTACGTCACATTTCTCATCATAACCTAAAATTACTCCCGCGATCCCGAGATCGTCGAGTACGCGGAATCGAGAAGGGATCACCTCGGAGCGCGACGCGAAATCGCGTGAATGGGCGCGTTCAGCAGACCAAACCGCTGAGTAGCAGTCGAACGTGATTGGCTCTTACTTTTAGAACCAACCAATCAACGCAGAGTGTTGATAAGACGAACTCAACAGTTGTATCTGCTGAACGCGGTCAATGATGTGGGCGGCCATCTTTTGAGTAATCTTTAAGGGCTCAGTCACAATGAGAAGAATAAGGAATAAGATAAAGGAATAAGGAATAAGGGAATGTTGCATCTCACTTCAGTACACGTACATTAAAGTGAGATGCAATATGCCTTATTCCTAATTCCTTTATCTTATTTCTTATTCCTCTCATTGTGACTGAGCCTTAATCGTTCGACCAATAGGAAGGTTGGATTTTAGGAGTGTCTTTCAGAAAAAGGCATGGCTTGTCAATCTTACCATCTAAGCACGCGACATACTCAATGACCCACTTGTCGCACGTGGCCGACCGCAAGCGTGAATTTCGAAGAATTTTGCGTTTTGTTGTGCGTCGTTCGGACGTTCTATTACTCCGGTTAAAATGGTTCGCAAGAAGATAGACAATCGGATACGGGTTTTGATAGAGAATGGCGTTACCACGGGACACAGGACGATGTTCGTCGTCGTCGGCGAGAAAGCGAGGGACCAGGTATGCGAAAACGTGGATGCACAATCTGTGCCTGTCAGGTCCATTTAGTCTTTAATTTAATCTGAACAGCAGATATAGTACAAATCAAAGAATTTAATTATTTGAGAATTTAATTTTCTTTATTATTCGAAAGAATTTATAAAAATTCTTTAATATATTTTTATTCGGGAGGGCAACAAAAACAATAGGAAACAGTTCTTGGTTGGAGCAAAAATACTGTAAACTAGTGTTATTATCATACGCTTATGCCCATTTCTACCAATGTAGATTAACTTTAATCTTGGTTTAACTTATTGTACTTTCTATCTTTTTCTAACTTTTAGAACTAGGAAAAGATGACAGGTAAGTTAAACCAAGATTAAAATTAACCTGCGTTGATAGAAATGAACATTATATAGTGATTCAAATGCTTAGATATTTTCAGCTTCGGAATATACTCTTTAATATATATGTATATTAAAAAAAAAATTCTTTTAGGTAGTGTTGTTGCATCATATGTTATCCAAGACTGTTGTCAAAGCTAGACCTTCCGTGCTGTGGTGCTACAAAAAGGACCTAGGTTTTAGTAGCCACCGAAAGAAACGAATGAAATCGTTGCAAAAGAAAATCAAGTCAGGTAAATTGGACGTTAACGAGGACGATCCGTTCGAGTTGTTTGTCATTTCGACCAATATTCGTTATTGTTACTATAACGAGACGCATAAGATATTAGGTAACACATATGGCATGTGTATATTACAGGTGCGTATACATTTTATCGTTTCCTACACATCTAGGTTTTCAACTTTATCATAATGTCGTGTTTAATGTCGTCCTTAGGATTTTGAAGCGATTACGCCAAACTTATTGGCACGTACCATTGAAACGGTGGAGGGCGGTGGAATCATTGTATTTTTGCTGCAATCTGTGAACTCCTTGAAGCAGTTGTACACGATGAATATGGACGTTCATCAGAGATTTCGCACGGAAGCTCATAAGGCAATAATATATAACATATTATTTCTTAAAATATATTCTTGAAACATGCAATATTACAGTTTCTTATTTATCTTTTATTAATTTAGGATGTAGTATGCCGATTTAACGAGAGGTTTTTGCTGTCGCTGGCTTCGTGCACTCGATGTTTGGTAGTTGACGACCAGCTGAATGTATTGCCTATTTCCTCTCACAATCTAAGAATAGAACCTATGCATAAGCCGACTGTTTCGGAAGAACAGTCAAACTTGAATGCTTTAAAGGAGAGTTTGCAAGATACTCAGCCTGTATCTGCATTAATAAATTGCTGCAAAACAGTCGATCAGGTAAGTTCATGCAAAAATGAATTAATAAATTGTATAAAAAGATTGGTATTAAATGTTTTCTAACTTTATGCACAATTTTAATATTTTCAGGCAAAAGCGGTCCTTAAATTTATCGAGTGTATCTCCGAGAAAACTTTGAGATCTACCGTATCGTTGACCGCAGCCAGAGGACGCGGAAAATCCGCTGCGTTGGGACTCGCCATCGCTGGAGCTGTTACCTTTGGATACTCCAACATATACATCTCGAGTCCCAGTCCGGAAAACTTGAACACTCTTTTTGAATTTGTCTTCAAGGGTAAGTTTACCAGATTAATCGTTATTTTATGGATATGAGGAATCATCAACACGTATGAAACGTAATTTGTATATTCGTAGGATTTGACGCGCTTGGATACCAGGAACATCTTGATTATGGTTTAGTGCAGTCCACGAATCCAGAGTTCAACAAAGCCACTGTACGCGTAAATGTGTTCCGAGATCATCGCCAAACAATTCAGGTGTGTAATGTTAAAAAAACTTTGAATTGTTTTATATACATAAGCATTTTCGGAAGTGTAATATATTCAATTTGCTTTAGTCCACAATAGAATGTTCGGACATCTTTGATAGTACTACAAATTAATAGCGCGTTATTGTTTCGTTTCTTTTGCACAGTATATACATCCAACAGACACCCACAAGTTAAATCAAGCAGAGTTGCTTGTGATCGATGAAGCAGCAGCAATTCCATTGCCCTATGTCAAAGCGATGCTTGGACCTTACCTAATATTTCTCGCATCAACTATAAATGGGTAAGGCATTCAAACTTTCCTGGAGTATCGATAAATCGTCTACTCTCATTCGTTAATATTTATAGATATGAAGGCACAGGTCGGTCTTTGTCGCTCAAATTGCTGCAGCAATTGAGGACGCAGACTGTTGGGTCAAATAGCCACGATGGGAAAAACGAAAAAGAGCAAAACGAGAAAACTCTTATCGGGAGGCAGTTGCACGAACTCACTCTCGAAGAATCGATACGTTATAAGCCGGGCGATTCTGTGGAACAATGGTTGTGCGACTTATTATGCCTGAATGTTACAACATACGCACCCATCCTATCTGGATGTCCTCCTCCTGATACGTGCCAGTTGTACTATATTAATAGGTATTTTTCTTTAAATAATGATGCAAGTAATTTTGCAAATGCTTATTAACTTAAAAAATTAATATGTATTCCTAATTTTTCTCAGAGATACATTGTTCTCTTATCACAAGGCTTCTGAGTTGTTTCTGCAGAGATTGGTCTCTCTATATGTTGCATCGCATTATAAAGTATGTACTGTATTTTTTCTTAACAATATTTTTTTATGAAATTATACGGTATTAACTTTTGATTATCTGTTAATATATTTTAGAATACCCCTAATGATTTGCAAATGATGTCTGACGCACCTGCGCATCATCTGTTCTGTCTCTTAGGACCTGTAGATGCCAATAAAAAGACTTTACCCGAGATATTAGTAGTTCTTCAAGTAAGTCTTCTGTGAATCTAAATTTAGCTGTAATTACAAGCAGTATAAACATTCCTGACATTCAAATATTTTATTTTTTATTGAAAATTGTGAAATTAGATGTTAGAAAGTTAGCATTATTTTTAGAACACATTTCCTGAATTATTTTTAAATTATTTTATAATTGAATTATTTATTCTATTTGTAAGAAATATATTCTCTTTATACATAAATTTATTTCCCAACATACAGATTTGCTTAGAAGGCCAAGTTAGCAAAACCAGCATAAATGATGGTCTATCACGAGGTCGTAGGGCAGCGGGCGATCTAATACCATGGACGATCGCTCAACAATATCAAGACGAGGATTTTCCAGTATTGTCTGGCGCGCGCATTGTTAGGATTGCCACGCATCCAGATTATCAAGGGGTATATATTTCTCTTTTAAAATTTGCTAATTTATTTTAAAAAACATGAATTTGCTGAACGAACAATAAATTGCAGATGGGATATGGTAGCCGCGCATTGCAGCTATTGAAGCAATACTACGAGATGAAAATACCCAATATCAATGAAAGCGTTACACAAGAGCCAATGACGGAAATAAAAAATGTTTCCGATGAAGCGGTCGGTTTATTAGAAGAAACTATCGGTAATATGCATGTCTGTTTATCTACAAATATTTTTTATTTGTAGAAATTCTCTTCAAATAAAACTTGTTTTCTCAAACACGATTTACAATATTAATGTTCTATTTATAATTGCTTGCAGAACCTCGCAGTTCGCTGCCACCGCTTCTATTGAAATTGAGTGAAAGACATCCAGAACATCTGGATTACATTGGAGTGTCTTTCGGGGTTACCGAGCATCTACTGAAATTCTGGAAGCGGACCAATTTCGTACCTGTATATTTAAGGTGTGTATACGAAGTGTAATAGAATAAAAGATCGACCGATCTCAAACACATGCGATTTTTTTTTAGACAAACAGCAAACGACATAACAGGGGAACATTCTTGTATAATGCTTTGTAAAATTAATGCGGAACAAGATAACGATAAATGGCTACAGGCTTATTGGAGCGATTTTCGCCGGCGATTCACAAGTCTGCTCTCCTATTCGTTCAATACTTACGCAGCGTCACTTGCATTGAGCATATTAATTAACAGAACAATATCCTTAGAATCTATCAGTAAGTGTATTATATTATTAATTGTGTTATTAGTAATTTATAACGTCATATTAATAGTAGTAGTAATAATGATAGTTGACATCGATTCCTGAAAAAATTTATTTCTCTCAAGCTTCAATTTTCTATTCAACGTCTTATAAAACTTGCACTCTAATGTATATATTAAAAAATTAAGTTCTCTGCTTATATGCCATGAAATTAATTTCAATCAAGACATGCCTTAGTTAACATAGAATGTTTAGAGATCTAAACTTTGAAATTTATACCTGTTTCAGCGTTGAGTAAAGAAACATTGGACGTTTATTTTACATCGTACGATCTGAAACGTTTACAAATGTACAGTAACAACATGGCAGATTATCATTTGATTATGGATTTGGTGCCATCATTAGCACGCCTACATTTCTTAAATATGATGGGAGACACTCATTTCTCGCCAGCGCAGTCGGTACGATACTCGGGACATTTCTTGATATATTATTATTTCATACTAAAAGTATTTGCTGTATCTATATAACAATACGCAACAATTTTTAGGCAATTCTACTTGGTTTGGGCTTGCAACATAAAACTGTCGACAAATTGGCAGAAGAATTGAAGCTGCCGTCTTCGCAGTTGCTCGGCTTATTCAATCGTATAATACGTAAATCCATCCAATATTTCAACAGAGTCGCGGAAAAATACGTCGAGAGCACTATGTTGACTAAAGACTCGGTTAACGAAGAAGTAAAATTAGATCCTCTAGGTGGACAAAGTTTACACGAGGAATTGGAAAGCGCAGCTAAGGTTCGCACTTTGTAATAATTTATTTTCTCATTCCCACTTAACATATATGAAAATAATATTTCTGTGTTGTAGGAATTAAAAATTAAACAAAAGGCAGAATTAGAAAAACTGAAGAAAGAAAATTTGGAGCAGTACGCTATCAAGGGATCGGAAGCGGAATGGACTAGTGCGCTATCCGCCAAGCAAAGTAAAAAACTTATCTCTATAAAGACCGGCGAAAAGAGAGCGTCAGGAGCAGACGATAGCATACAAGAATCTGAGAAAAAACACACGAAGAAGAAAAAAAAGAAACATACATAACTTATGTATAGTACGAAATAAATAAATGATCGACAGGTTTATAAATAGTTTTGAAAGTCTTCTGATTGAATAAATTTATATTTATTACAAAAATTATATAATTAGAAAAACATGATATAAAAGTTTTTAACAGACATCACAGATTTCTTCTTTATATCTTTTTGTGTATTTGTACTTAAAAAAAAAGACTAGTCTATAAATATAAAATTCTCTCCAGATTCTTTTACATAAACATTACTATTTCAGAGCACGTATTGTGGAACTTTTCGGGACGGAATTAATCCGTTTTCCCTAGAAAACACAATAGAAAGAGAAAATAATAGGAAAAGTTCCATAATACATGGGCAATTCTAGTCAAAGAAATTGTTTTCTATAATATATTTTACACATTGACAAATTAAATTTCTTTCATGCTGTATGGAACGTGAGAGCAATTTTTCTAATAATTTATTATGATATTTATGTAAAATTTTCTCATTTTTGTTATTGATTGGTATTCGATTTGTTTCGCGATTTTGCTTATCTTGACATTTAACGACAGTATTTTGAGTTCCGTTATTTGATTTATCAACCCCATTGGTATGAGATTGCATATTAGAAATCTCTTTATAAACTAGCGTGGAATTTTCTTCATGAATTGTATCTTCTGTTATCTTATCATCTTGGTATTCCATTTTTATCTTTTTCACCGGCACTTCTTCTGGACCTTCATCTAAAGACAAAATTAGTGCCTTTAATTGCTTTATAAAAGAATATATACCGATCAAAAATTAACTTTTAATAGTTAGATTTCGACAAATTTCAAGATATTCTTATACTAGAAAATATAAATGATAAAAGACTAATATATAATATATATAGATATAGATATATATAGATATATAGATATATATATATATATATAGATAGATAGATATATATATATTCGATTATATATTAACAAGCATTAAGCGTTATTTACCATTGTCTTCACTTTCATAATCTGCTACTAAAGTAGGTAATACAGACGAACTGATCACAGATAAATTAGCGGACTCGGGTGCCGTAGATGCTTGCGGTATATCATCCTCGTCCGAGATATTGTCAATTTTTTCATGCAAATCTGTCTGATCAGCTGAACAAACTACGCTATCTTCTTCTTCTTCCAAAACAGCTGTGGCAAAAAATCAATTTCATCTGATATTTCGTGTATGATAAGATAATAGAAAAGAATTTTAAATTATTATTAATATAAATTACAGATTGTAATAAACTTAATATAACTTGAACTTTATAAATATGATTTAATATAGAATCGAAATATCAATTAATTTAATACACTTGAAAGATCTCAAATATTTTTCTAACGTTATAAAGCAAATTATATTCATAGCTGACAAATTTATTTTCATAATACAACTTACTTAGTCCAGGAAACGGGCATAAACCTCTGTATGTTCCATTCATATGGACATCATTATTGTTAGTCTCACGTGCACGTCGTTTGCGAGGTTTGCGTTTTTTCTCACGCGTGTTTATCGGTTTTTTTATTTTCGTGTTTGCATTAGAATTCTGCTTGATTATCTCTCCCCGCTGTAATTTTTCCAGCTCTTCCGCCTTGCGCAACTTTATGTTGTTCTCGGTAGGATACCTCCTGTTTCGTCATTCGAAACAATTTTTGTTAATTGCGCTCGCTAATGCATTTAGATTTTAATATTGGTGTTAAACTTACTTTTTCCGCTCCGTTATCCATGTGTCGATATCTTCCGGCGTCGACAGATCCTTCAGTCTGTGGTACAAACCAGTTCGATGCTGCATACTGATATGTTTTTCAACAAGCGAGGGATGCGCTGAAAACCTGCAGCCGTCAATCCCACAAAGCTTGTGTGTGCTTCTATGCTCGGAGAGATCAGCCGCGGATGGGAAATCTCTATCGCAGACCTCACAATAATGAGGTGCGTCGTCGTCGTCACCAGAACTGACATAATTTTCATCTCTCTGATCGTACGGCTGTTCTTCTGGATACAGATGAGCCTAAAAATCACCACTTTCCTATTTACACGAAGATCTTGGTATAAATTTAATTGTTCGTAACATAACAACGTTGCACTGTCATTGTTAATCCTATGCTTTACGATTTCTTGTAAAACTTTTACTATTTCATTTTTATATCTTCAGTTATAAGCAAATATAATACCATAATCTTGTACTGAACATCTACTATCATTACCTGTTAAGCGATAAACAATTATTATGCACATCTGAAGCTATGGGATATTCAGCCGGGGTATTCAGAAATTCTATGTGAAAATATAAATATTCGTTTGCGAAGCGTAGATCTTCCTTTCATTGCTTACTTTTTTTTTTTAGATTATTCAAGCAATTATAAATTTGCGCATATCTTGTCGAAGCATTAATTAATCATTTTTCATAAGGCACACGGTAGTGACATACATAACTTGTGCATTAAAAGCTTAATCATTTGAGACATTTTATAAATTATATAATAGTATATAAATTATTAAAAAATCTTTATAATCGCAACTGTATTTCTTTTTATGTTAGAAGTGTGAATACTGTATACGCATTTCTATTTACGTTTCATACATTAGCATGAGATTTATGAATATGTCATAAGTTTGTATTGATCATTACTTCATCAATATGATGATAAATTATTGAATTGCAAAAATCACAAAAGATTATTTTCATATTTCAGAACGATTGTTTCAATACGCCCAATTTCAGTGATTCATAATGATAGAATGATGGGGAACACCAGAGAATTAGAACTTATAGAAATATGATTTATTCTTACAATATGCGTTTCAATTACAAATTCATTTTCTTTTACGTGTCATTCTATAGTTTTTGGAAGTTCACTTATGACATGATTAAGTATCTTAAATATGATACATATATATATAGGCATGATCATTTATAAAAGTTATTACTAATCTAACAGAGCCACAAGCTATGTCAGACTTTCTTGTACATTAAAATATTCATTTTATATTAATAATGTATCTTCATACATTATGACTTCTCATCATCTATTTCAATGTCACGGTTTAGACATCGTAATTCTATTACTATTTCTTACACGTAGTATAGCTTGCGGCACTGTATACTGGCCATGTATACTAGATATGAAGGAAGGACTTTGAGAGAAATTTATTCACAAGTGGCCAGTTTTTACATGTCAGATGAAAAATTATTACATCTAGTTAACTGTCATATTACAAGTTTTTATGTAATGAACTATATTCAACATTATACGTCTGCACTAAATACATATCAATACATATATAAAAAAAGAGATGAGATAAATCATTAATTCTTACGAAGATGGCCTAAAATTCTAACAAGAAACACCCCAAATTTTTCGATTTGAATGACTTTTTGAGAATATGTATATATAGTGATTTAAATACATGAATAATGGTATGCTTCATATAAATGAATTATTTATATTAATTATATTCATTCATATAAATGAATCATTATATTCATTTTTCATGTATTTGTGAGTCACTCTATATATCCACAAAATCATCTAAAGCGAAGTGTTCGGATTCAAGCTGTTCCCTTGTAAGACTATTGTTATTTCAATTAGCTGCTACTTTCTCAACGTTATCGTTTTTTCAAACAGCGTACACTTATGATGTAAATAATATATAAAAAAAATATCACGTGACTGTTACGTTGCAAAAATAATAAAAGGAAATGAAGGTCAGTATCTATACACAAAATCATATAGAACTCGAGCAATGATGCGGATAAAAAAAATTTGCTAGATCAAAACACAAGGGTCAAATCGTTCTGAAGTTTGAAAACAGATACTTGTGTTGTATCATTTGAATTATATAATTCTTTAATAGGAGGAGTAGCCTGTTAAGCTTAAGACTGTGCCTGTTCGCTGGAAGGCTGCGTCTCCTCTGTTTGCTCCGTTTGTTCTGATTGCTCAGTTGAATTCTCAGTTTTCTGAACACCCTCGGATTCAATCGTATTGTTATCATCTGTTTTCTGATCCTGCAAAACCAAAGTAAGCCATCAACGTTTAACGGAACATGCAGGTACCGGACTTTCGTCGCACGACTACTACACGTTTGCAGAATATATATTTAGAATAAAAACAAAAAGACGTACGTTTTACAATAATATATTTGCCATTAACTAATTCCCATTTCTTATCTAATCATTTATATCGCATATTTTAACATACATAGTAAATGTAATATCTTGCGACCCCTCAACAAACACAGATCTGAATCACATATATTAATCTATGCTATACTTATAAACGAAGCATTAAATCTGACTTAGCTATTTTATCACTTTATAACATTTAAATTTTAATATCGAAAGAGAAATAATTTTTCACAATCCGCCCTTTGTTATAATCCGCCCTTGTATTTATTAGGAAAATCAGTCTGTTTATGTGCTCTTACGTGATCTCTAAAATAAGATTTAAAAAAAATAATTACATAGCCTTCTCCTAATTTTGAAACATATTCAGTTATAAGTTTTATTTTTTATATAAAGTAGCATGCACGAAAAGGATCACTGTGCAAATTATTCTTATCTACATAATAATTTGTGCACTATGCATATTCTGATTAACACATACATATATATGCACACACATTCAATATTACATAAACGTTTTAAAATAACAAATAAATTTACATTTAGTAATATGGACAAAGGATAAAAAGAAACGTATCATTAAAATGTTACATAAAACAAGCGAATTTGTAGAGATAAAATAACATTATTGCGATGTAATATTAATTACTTCTCTATAAAGATACTTAAAAAAAAACAATATTTCTTTAATAATACAAATATAAAAGTAAATATTAAAAAAATAAGAAAATAT